CCCCCCCCCCCCCCCCCCGACGGTGGGAAAGCGCTTGTCACAAGACTTGCCGCGACCGAGGTAATACCTTTCTATTACGCACGCCCCGGTAGGCCAAAGTTTCATTTCATCTTTCAGGGGCCGGTCGAGCCGTCGAAGATCCTGGGGTGATACTTGACCTGGCCAGGCCATTCCTTCGCCGTCCTCGCGTGAATGTAGCCGAACTCTGCGGTAGCCATCGAAAACATGAAGCACAAGAAGTTAGGGAAGAAGATCCAAAAAATAAAGAAAACACACAACGATCGCGTCCTTTCGAACCGTTTTTTGCTTTCAACCACACTGAGACTAACGTTTCATCATTGGTGGAAGCGTGGCAGATGCAAAAGCTAACAACACCCAATGACGCGCACACAGAGAGGTGAGAGAGAAGTGAAGACTGGAAGATGCTGTAAAAGCGACCTCGGTGGGATAAGCTACCGAAACAGAGGTAACAATAACGAGGGGTGATCAACACCATGGCGTCTCCCTTGTACGCCGGATATAGCTTGGTCATGAACGCGGCTAGACTACAAAAGCCTTACCGAGCAGTAACAACGACGACGACGAAGACGCCAGTATAAAAATCGGCGGGTTTTGTATGAAAATCACTTGTTTTCATCTACCTTCGAACCGTTGTCTCCAAACAGAGAGGCAAAGCAGCCACAGCGTACTCTCTGGGTACCCAAGGAAGTCAGTGCTCGTGGCTCTTAGGGACCGATAACGAAACAACGACTCCACCGCCACCTCCAACTACAAAACCAACGCCCGGAAAATCAATACCCTAAGCTTATCAGAGCTCCGGCCTTCACACTACTCGAAATACCAACGACAACCCATCCCTCAGCACCACCACCACGCCGGCCTCATATCACGGCGCCACCCAACACCCACCAACAGCGTGGCAACACCACGCACAACAATACCTTCTACGGCCACAAATGCCGGGTCCTCCTCCATACCCCCCACCGTCACCGCCCATTGTATCCATGTGTCTGGCTGTTGACGGCACATGAAGTCGGTCCACCCGTCATCCCCTCCGCCGCAGGAGCACGAGCATATCTTCCTGGCCTCCGATCGAGCTTCCTCCTCGGTGAGGAGAAGAGTGTTGGCGCTGCAGTTCGTCGCCGCCACAGCGTCGACAGTCTCGACCACAGGGTGAATACGACGTTTCTATTGGCTCGTGGGCCCGTTTGTAAGAGTGGTTATGGTGGGCTTCTGGATGTTTCGGGTGGCTTCGTGGCTGATGGGGGGGGTGGGTGTAGTGCTGTTGGGGTTGTCCAGAAAGAGACAGCATCAGGTTAGGTTTCCTCGTGCAACGGGCCCGATGTACGCGCGCTCGGCATCGGGATAAAAGATATTCGACTCGCGACAAGTATCCCGGTTCAGATGTTCCTTGAACGTTAGGATTGTCGCTTCATGTCAACGAAAAAAACATCGGCGGAATACATGAACAGTTTGAGGCCTCTTCCGGCTGTTTAGTTTTCCAACCCACACAGCACGACCCTCCCCCCCAAAAAAACTACGCGCGAGTGCGTGGTCACCTGCCCGTTGACCGTGCGGCTCGGGCACACAGAGACATCAAGGCAGCGCCCGCAATCCATGCCCCCCCACCCGTCCTTACGCACGTAATGGGCGAAGCTCAAGCCTGAACGGATTCCCGTTCCCCAGTACAGGGTACAATTCCCAAGGTAGGTGGGGTCCCCGAAGTCATACGCACTGTGCAAGCTGCGGCGGTTGGGTGAGGCGGTGGAGGGGGGAAGAGAGTCGGCGTCAGACACACTGCTGCACGCGTATCCACAACCCAAAGTGTTGCCAACATCTGCCCTGGTTTACCATGCTCCCGCTACCAGTTGCTGTCTATAACCCCTGGCGGGTTCCGAGCTAAAGCCGAATTTATTTGGGGGGGGGGGGGAACGGATCGTCACCATCCCCCCCCCTGTCTTCGAAAAAATTATCCCATGATCCTTGGCCATAATGATGATGCTGTGCAAAATTTGAAAATCAAACTCGTTCATCTTACCCGGGTTTCAACACACTTTACCTATATCAGGCGGCTAAAAAATGAAAACGCAAAACCCGGGGATGGCCGCTAAATATCCCCGGGTTTGAAAAGTGCTCCGATCGATCTGAAATTTTCAGGTCAAGGTAATTTTGGGGTGGAGAAAACGAATGCGGCGTCAAAAA